AGGCGTTAATCTTTCCAGCAAACCTAGTCCGTCTACATAACTCTGCTTGCACTTTGGCCTAACATAATTTATGCACTGCAACTAGACAGAAACTATGTATGCGAGAGGGGCGTGGCAGTCGCCCGCCGCCCACCGCCCAGTAGCATACGTAATTACACACTTCGGGATAATGCCAGAGCGTTAGTGGCAGCCACTTTGCATCATTGTGAATGTGAAGCACAGGAAATGAAGCAGGAAAGGCAAAAAACAATCAAGAATGCTGAATAAATAAAGTCAGGAAATTGTATACAAGAGCCAACAAGAGGCATTAAATCGCATTGTCTCCATGGAAAATAATTCAGGTGTTGAGAAATAAAAGCCCCTTAAATGATTAGGAAGACTTGTCAGAATGTAGCAAACCCTTATACAGATAAAAATTGGTTGCAAAATACAGTGGTATTTTTTTTTCCAATGGCATTTCCAATCTTTGCCTTCGGATATTTTTACAATATTTTTAAAATATATATGTATACTCCCTAGAAATTCTAGATATTTTCCATATACATATACGGAATTTGTTTAATAAATAAAATTGTTTTATTTCTTGTTTGGCAGCACCTGAGATTGCGTTTTGATTGACAGCCCTTATAAGTAGAGATAAAATAGTTCGAATTCCTAATCAGCACTTAACAAAACGGTGTTCGGGCATTAAAGGCAGTCGAAACAGTAAACTTTAGTTGGGTTTTATATGCTATGTCTATCGGTGGAGAACAATCCAAATGTTCCACAATAGACATCCAAACCCTTGAGCTTTATTCGAAGCACTAACTAAACCTCAGATTGTGCTCTCCGATTTTTCCAATTTCACTCAATATACCGACGCATGCGTGTCGTAGTGCCACATGTGAACACCGTGATGGAAAATGGCGCCACTGTGCCGGGAAAATCTCAAATTATTCCTACTCTCATTTCCCAGCTATAACTCGGTTTTCTCTCTTCAGGACTCTCTTTTCCCACCAGCTGATGGCCCGAAGTTATTGCTAACATCGCGCCTCCGTCGCCCAAAAGCGTGCTTCGGTTTTTCCTTTTAGGTTTTCCCTTGACTGTTTTCCGCTGCCTTTCGTGAAAATGCCTTGGGTTGAGTTCAGTTTTGGGTTCGAGGTTTAAGGTTGGGGGTTTTTCGGGGTTGGGTTGGGTGACCGGGAGCAGCGACTCTTTGTTGCTTTTGTTGGCACTCTGCTGCCGTTCCTGCTCCTCCTGCTCCTCCTGCTGCTTTCAATTCAATTTTTCGCCAGCTGTTGTGCTTAATTTGAACTTTAAGCATTTTCCTTGTTGTTGTTTGGGAATTTCCGGCTTTAATGCGGCATTTCTGCGGCTGGGCGACGAGAACAGCTCAATGAGAATCGGAAAATGAAGAGTAGGGAACCGATTTCGCAGCGTTCAGAAGTCCTTTGTGGGTCAACCAGTCGGCCTTTTAACCGCTAATGAAGACTTATTTCGCAGCACAGCAAAGGCAATGCACTTATTTACGGTTAGGCCGTAGTATTTCCCATCCGAAATATGGACCGGTTGACAGTATAAATAATGTGTTCCTTTGCCAGAATTTATGGCACTTGTATGTCTTCTGGTCTTCGGCATCCACTTGGCTGCTATAAATTAGAGCCACCGACCAGTCCGACCTTAAATGCGAAGTGCGTGTGTGTACGGCCACCCGGCCCCGCCCCCGCCTCCAACCACATCCATCCACTGCCCACCCCCAAATACACACACACACACGCATTACCCGACACGCAACAAAACACACAGATACCATTGGTACACTTGTATTACGGCAGCGGCTTTTGAGGTTTTAAAGCGTTTTGAGGTGACACATAATGATTAGCCAGCCATTAATTGCTTAGCACTCCAGGCACTCGATTACACTAATTAGGCGTCTTATTAACCTTGAACACATACACACAGCTACGGAGCATCCTTGGGGCAATCGCATTTATTCCGTAAAACAACTATCTTTAATAAATTCCACTAAAAATTCTTATGAAATTGTGCAGCAAAGGCAGCAGGGACGACGAGGTCCGTGGTGATGATGTGGCGGTCCATGGTGATGTGGTGGCGGTCCATGGTGATGTGGTGGTCCGTGGGGACCTCCATGATGCGGTGGTCCACCATGATGTGGTCCTCCATGTCCATGGCCTCCAGGTCCTCCGTGTGGTGGTGGCATTATTCAGATATTTTCGCTAACTTTGAACTGCGTGCGAATGCATCCAACTCTTATAGGCAACTAAATCCATATTGCCAGTTCAAATCTAATCAAGACCTGCCTCATAAAGATAAGGACTATCTAATCTGTATAGTACAGCTTACTAATCGATAGAAGTGTTTGTCAGCACAAACATTCGAATATTATGATGACCATGGCGATGAGTAATGCCTTGTAAATGTCTCAAACTAAATTAGTCACGACAAATTAAATGAGGAAAACCCCTCGAAGCTCTCCAACCTGAGATAACAATATGTACAACTCTATTGGACAGCTAATCTTTCAGAAGGTGCGTCTACTTTCATCAAACGATAAGATAGAGCATATAAAATAATGAAAAAGTATTATATTATTTATTATTTGGACTTTTTAAAATGTACCAATGGATTGCCGCTATTATACCTTTAAAAGTGCTTTATTTTTCGAGGGTAACATAACACAAAGAGCTTTGGGATTCCTGAATAATAAAACCCTAGAGATAACTTTCAATCTATTATCTTTAATCTATTCCAAGGTATTTCCAATTTCATAAAAGGTTTGTTGGTAAAACGATTAGATATGGCTTTTAAATTATGCGGAATTCTGTGCGTAAGAGACCACCCAACCCCATTCTAAGGAAACCCAAATGAGAATTCGATCGTTTTTGGAATACAATATTTATTGGCTTTCTTCTGAAACCAAAACTCGATTGGCACATTATCCACTGCCTCTACCAATCAACGCAAAAGTACTTAATAATTGTAGAATGCAAACTTCCAGCAATCTGATTTTGTCAATTTGCCATTGAGATTGCCATAGTGCAAAAGCGAGTTCATGCGAGTGGAGCAACTTGATTTTAATTCCTGATAAAGGAAGGCAGTCGTGGCCATGTAACTATTTACTTTCCCCATGACATGACCCAGAAAAGTATGGCGAAAATTCGCCAAGCCAAGTGCAGGCACATTCGGCAAGAAAACGGAAGGAGCAAGACCAATGGCCTGGCTTTTTGAATTCAATTAATTTTATCTGCATCAGTTTTCCCTTATAATCGCATCACAGGGCGGCTCACATGCGAAACGGAAAACGGCTAAAGGACTAACGGACTAAAGGACGAAAGGACGCTTTCCCGAAAAAGGACCGCAACTCGTAAAATATATAAAGTCATTGCAAAAGCCAATTTGTATATCAGCGCTGGCGGCTGAGGACCGGCGATTATCAAACTGCGAAACTTACTTAAAATGCCCTCAAAAGGGGGTTTTCCTTGCCAATTGGAATGGCGACGGGAGTTGGCCCTGCTTTCATGGTAACAATTACATTTCACAGATTTTCGTTTGGGGTCGCGTGTGCCGTTGCATGTTGTTGGTGCGGTCGCATTCGCGTCCGCTTTTCGCGTCCTTTATTTCGGGCTTAAAGGAGCTTACATTATCGCCGGGTTGGCAAAAGGCAAAACCCACACACCCACCGGCAGGCGAATTTCCACTGGCTGGCTGATGTGCGACGTCTAAATATGAGAATGTTGTGTGAAAATGTTTAAAATCCACGCGAGCCTCTCCGAGCGCAAATGCTTAGCACGCCATAAGTGTCAGCCAGTCATGATTGCCTGCGGTTTTCCCAGTGTATTTTCCCGTCTGCTCTATATGTGGACACAGTTGCGGTCAAATAAATAGTGGTGAGCCAACATGATATGCTTTATAAACGAACTACTACGCTTACTTACCAATAAACACAAAAATTTACTGACTAACAACTAACATGCATGAATATTAATGATAGTTTATATTTTTTGCCTTTATTTGTGGTATTTTTAAAGCACTACTAAAAAGCTGCTGACAGCTGTCTATGTGTGGGCTTAGTCCTTTGGCCAAGGAGTGGCCACTTTTGCATACCTCCCCCTGAAAATAGCGTGGCGGGCGCTAAGAAAGGAAGTAAATAGTGGAAAAGGCATAAATAATAGCAAATAATACGGCGACAATGCGCACAAATTTGCCGCTAAAGTGTAGTCATTGTCGGGGGCAAAAAGAGGAAAAAAAATTAGAAAAGGAGTCCTGTGCGTGAGCTAAGCCACAGGACCAGCCTTTGCTTTTTGCATGATTTCGCTGTTTAAATTTATTACACATTAGATTTATGATCGCGTTGAGTTGCCCCTACATTCCCCTACACTCCACCGCTTATCACTGCCCCTTGTGGGCTTTAATTTCATTGTTACAACTTCTATTTGAACTGGGTGTGAAGCATAATTTATAGGTGGCCGTGTGGCGAGTTTGTGCGAGTTTTTAAGTGATTTCTTTCGCTCGGGTGCCACTGGGCATGCACAATTATTGGGTGGCCTGTGCCACTTCTGTCACTCGCCTTGCGGTCGAATTTCCACAGCGGTTTTCTCCCGGCTTTCCCCTGGTTTTCCCATTTAATCACAGGTTTTGGATTGCCTTGCGTGGCTTTTAAGCGCTTATTAGAAGTGTGACAGAATTCGAAGTTGAAGAGGAAACGGAGACGCCCCCAACTTGCCACTTCCATTTGACACACACGAAGGCCCACACTAATAACATGGGCGGGGGCAGGCATTAGTTGTGCCTCGGAACACAAACAGTTGTGAATAAATGAAAACTTTGGTCGCAAAAGCAGAACAAATAAAACAAAACGATTTACGGCTCAGTCAATACTTATCAGGGAATGACCAAATTAGTTAAAAGAGAACCTAATTCATACTTTTTGTAGATCATAGGGAACTATGTATTTGCTTTCCTTTAAAATATTGTTGTTAATCACCACATATCATCAACAGATTACATTCCTTTCACCCCACATGTGTTTTAAACTTTATTAAATTTATAGTAAGATTGCCAACCGACTTTTAATACAACTTTACCACACGTTGTGAAAACGCTACCCAAGAGAATTCTGGCCAAGATCTACATCGTAGAACCACCAAACAAAAGAAGCCACAATGACGTCGATCGTGGAGATGCCAAAGGCCGTCTTGGAAGGGGCCTTGCCGCCTTGGATGAAGATAGACTGGTCGGACGAGGTGCTCCACGACATTTACCGGGACTGGGGAACCTACTACTCCCGTCGCCGCCGGGAGAACTTCGCTTTGCACTACCTGAACAAGGCACTCGCCCTGGAGCCCACGGATCACATGACCCTCTACAAACGATGCCAGAGCAAGAGGAAGGCTGCCCAGATGCTGGGTGCCCTGGAAGACAGCCGGGCAGCTGCCAGTGAGTATTACAGAGATTTGTAGTAGTTTATGGATAGTTAAAATGAAGCATTTACAAACATTTTCATATTTTAACAGAGCTGGCACGCAGCGTGGATGGCGAGGAGAAGGCCATAATCAATCTGGATATTTGCGATGTGCTGTACGAACTAAACCAGTTCGAAAACAGCAAGGCCGAGATGCACAATAATATGCGAGTCTTTATTGGTAATAAAAGAAACAGCTTCGTGCAGCGCCAGTTGGTGGTAAGATTCAATGTTGTGCAAAAATATTTGTTTCATAGAAATGTAAAAATGCCCCAATCCCTACACATAGGTGGATGGCGTGATCAAAGATGTGACTGGTGAGGCCATGTCGGCCTTCTTTACGAAGAATCTGAAGACCGTCAGCATTGTGCACGATTTGATCAAGGAAAGGCAAAAGATCGACAATCGACCCTTGTGGAAGATTCTGAAGGAGCAGGGCAAGTGCGATGTGCAGAGCATTCCGGAGGTTCCCGAGGAGATGCTTTCGCCCATGGAGATTGCGCGCCGGAAGCGGGCCTTTAACATCTTCCACCAGAGCTACATAAACGACTCCTGGATCGATGTGCTCTTCATGAAGATGCTGTGCAAGAACCGAAACCTTTTGCTGCCCCAGTGCAAGGAGTCCTCCTACTTTCTTCAGCAGCTTTCCAGCAAGCAGTACGAGATCGTTCGCAAGTTTATGGTGAGCTGGATTAAATTGTCAATTTTTAGGCGTCGGTCCTAAGCCGGGTTTTTTTTTTCGCTGCCTGCAGAAAATGCTGCAGTCCCGCTCCCCACTTTACCTGGTCAATTACCTGAAATACGGCAACAAAGCCATGTCGGACAAATACCGCGAGGCCTACCTGTTCCGCGTACAATATCAGACACATCGCAACATGAACCAGGCTCTGAAGGAGATTAGGGCACTGCGCAAGGCCAAGAAGGTTCAGGTGAGTGATATTGATCCACTAGATGTAGATGGTATTAAACAGCTGCCAAATTTATCCATAGCAATTGGCGAAATTCGTGGAGGAACTAATGGGCACATATGTGGTCCTGAAGACGGCCCGTGTGATGTGCTGGAAATTCGAGTTCCTCAACGAGGTGTACAACACCATGGCTTTGACTTTGGCCGAGCAGCTTCGAGTGCCCAAGGGATTCACGCCCCACGGCAGCAATGCTATACTTCGGCTGCTCCGTCTGCCAGTTGAAAGGATCAAGGATTTTGTTCCTGTGACTTTTGGAGACCGAGCACCAGAGCCGGAGGGCAACGATCCAGCCACTAATAGAGCCAAGTACGAGTGAAATACTTATAGTCCCAACAATATTCTTTAATGTGTCTTTTATTTCAGGAGGCTAACTGCGCGCCTGGAACATCGAATGGTCTTTGCCAAGTATTCAATCGAGAAGTGTTACTTGTTGCACCAGATTTCGCAGTCATATTTGGACCAAGGACGTCATTCCGAGTGCACTTATAATGCTCGCAAGGCAATTAAAGGTAATTCTTTTTCAAGTAAAATATATATTACAGCAATGGACTTTGTATTTATATTCTTACAGAGAGCAAGAACTGCAACAGCAATCTGTGGAAGTTCCTCAGTGTGGTTCAGATAGTCAAGGCCAATGCCATTCTGCACAAACTGGAGCAGACCAAGGAAGCCCTAGAAGATGCCCTGCCCATCGCCAACTTCCTGAATGCTCCGGAGTTGGTTCTCTTCATAGAGAACTGCATGGCGTGCAACACGGAGGATTCGATTAATAAGCGGGCCACCCTAATGCAGGCTCGACGGGTGAGCAAGTCCGAATCTGTGGCCACCCACTCGCTGGTCAGCGGCCAGGACGTCGACTCCCAAGAAGGTTGATATTACACTTCATTATTTTCCATTTGTTGTACTATTTTACAGTTAGACACAAAAAAATAAATGTCCATAAACACAATTTGTAGTGTTTGTATTTCTGTTAAAATTCTAACTAAATGGAAATCGCATATTTAAAGCGAGTAAGTAAACGTGCTCGTAAAACGTAAGTGATTTCGTTCATTAACATTTCTATTTAAACCAAAGTTTATCCCACGTAAAGTTCGTAATGCATTTGCTATCTTCATGACCAGCAATAAAATGGCGACGTGTGATTAAAACTTTTACTTTGTCCCACATTTTAAGCAAAAGGCTCTGAAAGAAACGCACACTAGCTTACAAACACATACATATACCTGGCGAAAGGAGTCGTAAAAATTCTATCAACTCGATTAAATTATAACAAGTGGATTTTCATGTTTTTCTGCCGCATTTATGTGTTTTTATTGTGCTAATTTTATGCCAGTCCTGGTGGTGCGGCGAACACCTCAAGAAGCAGCTCCTTTTGCTCCTTTTGCTCCTTTTGCTCCTTGGGCAATTTTGGCAGAGAGCGTGTGTGAGTGTGTGTGCAGATAGGCACCTGGTGGCACCTGCAATAATACTTGGCACACATTTAGTGGCAGCATTTAGTGGCACACTGCGGTCGCAGGATCCAACGACGAAGTTCATTCTTGGGACATTTCCACCATGGCTTTCCCGCTGCCGCCGCACTTGGCAAAGTTTTTGGCCTTCATCCTGCCGCCTTGCCACTTTTTTACCAACCGCCCACCTGCCACCTTTTGCCTACACGGCTCGGTAGCCTCGGCTCGGCTTTTGTCTTATCAAAGTTTTTGGCGCGCATGTGTTTATGCCACAAATGGCACTTTTGCGGCAGCGCATTTTATTTTTTACTGCCACTTTTCGCCATTTTGCTTTATCATTTTTATACGTTAGTGTATATAGTATATGTGGTTATATAGAAACAGTGCCAATAGGCTTGGTTTTGACCACAGTTCAACATACCATTGGGACAACACTGCGTATACTCTATTTACGAACCAGAGGACTTTCGTTCAATTTCCTCGCAAACAGTAGATTAAAACATTGTGTCTACCATGTAATAAAGAAACATATTACCCTGATTCGTAGATTTTTTAATGGGTTCTTTGCCTTTTTACTGCAGTTCTTAACTGTTGCTCTATATTTGTTAAAAAAACAGAACTCCCACTCCCACTTAGCCTTTCCGGCTTTAAGCCTCCCTCCCAATAATAAATCAGCGCGAACTCCATTTACCCTTTAGTTATGTTCTTGGAGTCGGAGGAAAGTAACAACTCTATTAGTAGCGGAATTTGAATTGCCGCCTAGTTCGTTTGTATTATCCTAGAGGTGGGAATGGAAACCCTGGCGAAAGGTGCACAAGCCAACTAATGACCCTGTATTTATATGACAGGGGAAAGTTTATAAATATTTATGGGGTGCTGCTGTTGCTTACTGTTGTTGCTGGCTTTCATCAAGCTAAAACTCATTTGCTTATTTTAAAATTCCGAGCAGGCGTAGTTTCATTTTTGGCACCCGGCATTCGTCGCCGGCCCCCCAAAACCGATGCTCCCCAACCGTTCCTTTTTTAGGGATCTGTCGCACGTTGTTGCCATTGTCACGCACACACGTACTATATTTTTTACGCGCATATCATATTACACCCTCCAAGCACACAGGACATTCCCTTGGCTTAAAGGACCCTCCGACCAGCCAACCAAACAACCCCTTTCCCAACTGTGGATGCTACGGGATCCATCGAGGTTTGGGGGCCCAGTCGAAGTAAATAGAATCACGTACACTAATTATCATCGCCATTGCACGAAGGGCGCTCAAAAATATATATTTTTATTAATTTCAGCAAGGTAACGCCCCCAGAAGCCAACCAACCACCTCACATAGCCCATCTGCGGTGTTGGGTGAAAATTTTAATTGAGATCCCCGCTATTTGATAGCAACGAGGAACTATTCGCCCGAAATTGATGTGGCCGCTGATGCTGATGGGGCAACTCGAATGGTTGGTTTTGAATGCAAAATGCGTCGTCGGATATAGTTTTGAGTGCTCAGATAAGGTGGCATATATAATTAGCTGCCCCATTTGGCATTATGCGACATTAGTGTGTTTCAAGTTCCCCCCGATAGTTTGTGTAATGTGAGTCACTCATTTGATAAACTCATAGGGCAGTGGGAGTGCCCAGCTAGGGTTTATATATAGTGCAAAACTTAAAATAGCACCTTTTAAAAATTTTAATGAAAATGCGTTTTTAAAATTACGATCAACACATTTAAGGCAAAACACGTAAAAGTGCAATACTATATGCTAATGACGTAGTTTGTTGAATTGCAAGAAAAATAAACACCAGATAACACCGCATAAAGCAAACCAGATAAAAACAAGATAGAATGCTATAGTCGAGTTCCCCGACTATTGGATACCCGTTACTCATCTAGTGGAAGTGCAAACGAGGAATTTTAACACTTTCTGTAATATCGGTAGAAATAGTAAAATGAAAAAAAAAAAAATAATTTTTTTTAAAGTGTGTTTCTGGCAAAAAGTTGTTTGCAAATCAATAGAAATTTACAAGATATATAGTAAAAAAGTTAAAAAATATCCACAACATTTTTCAAAAGTGTGGGCGTGACAGTTTTGGGTGGTTTGTGGGCGTAGGAGTGGGCGTCCCAACATGCTTATGTGCATAACTTGCTGTATGTTTAATCTCAACATTCTAGCTTTTGTAGTTCCAGAGATCGCGGCTTTCATACGGACAGACATACGGACAGACGGACATGCTCAGATCGACTCGGCTAATAATCCTAATAATAATCGGCTAAAATTAATAAGAATATGTATTATATATACTTTATATGGTCGGAAACGCTTCCTTCTGCCTGTTACATACTGTTCAACGAATCTAGTATACCCTTTCACTCTACGAGTAAGGGGTATAATTATCAGTATTTTATCTGATTTTGCATTTACAAGAGAGGACTTTGTGTATTTGCAGTACAATGCTTGAATGCTATGAATTCGGGAAATAAATCATGTAATAGGCAACCAATCGATTTCGTAGTTCCCTATCATAAAGCTGGTTAAACAACCAAGGTGAGACACCAACGAAGCTCTCGGTTCTTTACACAAATCGCTGGCAACTGATAAGGTTCCAGTTGCTTTTATCTATAGATAAGACCCATAGCAGAGATTGTCTAGATGGCGTCTATAATAACACAATCCCAGCAATATGACCAGTGCCAAGCTAAACGCGTGCGGTGCAACAAGTCTGCTTTGTAATTGAAAACGGGATTACACCCCATCGAAATGGACCACAGAACTCGCGTTGTGGAGGTGGTGCAAGTGCCACCCCAGCCCTCGACCACGGTGATCGTTCAACCTCCGCCGCCACCGCCTCCTCCCAAGGACAACAGCTGTTGTTGTTGTCCTTGCTGTCCCTGTTGCTGTCAGTGTGGCGAATGCTGTTGCTGCTGCACCATCATGTGAAAAGGGGCAGGACCTCAGATGCCCTAATTCGTTACGTTAAATTAACTTTCTATGCCTATGGCGGTCACAAACAAATCACACAGTTTTTTCGTGCAATAAAATTTTACGATTCGTTATAAATAACGCTGTGTACGACTTCACACTCTCGTTTCCATCTTTTGTTGTTTTTTGGCGGAGGCAACACGCTTGGTAACATATTGTCTTACATAAATCCCAATGCCAAAGTACCACGATATAATAAAATGCCAAATTTAATAACATGCCACAAAAATTTGTAGTTTTATGGCGCCTGAGCCGGGGGACAATCCTTTTTGGCTGCTGGTAATGCTCACCACATCATTTCAGAGTTAGTTCACATTCCGAGTTATTATTTATATGTTTCTCAATTTGCCAATAAAAGCGGAAAATGTGTCAAGAGTGCTGGCAACTCCGGTTCCAGGCCCATGCTGCTCTCATTTGATAAAGGATTTTATGACTCTGGGCTCTTGAATTGCAACCGCAGCGTCGGAGTTCTCGCCCCAAATATTTTGACGAGGGTCCCAAAGTGGGACTTTATGTGGGCGGGAGTCCGACATCGAATGCGAGTGCTTTTTCCAAATTTTGGAGTCTACTCATTTAACATAAATTCTAGCTCGCAATGCTTCTTTATCTAAAGCGCAAACCTTATTACTCATACGCAATGTGATAATTCAAACGGAAAAGAGTCGTGTTGATATCATAGTGAACAGGGTACAAAAATTTCAGTTTATGAAACAGACCAGGAAAACTAATCATTTCGGAGCTGTTTTTCCAAATTAGATATAAAATGCTTCAGATAACTTGCTTAACATGTAAACTAAATGGAAATACTAGTACTAGTACTTTTGGAAGCGACTGGTGCCAAAGTTGGAGAACAACAAGTGGGGTAAATCATTTAAATGGCTGTTTAAAATCTAGATTTAATGTGGTTTATTATTGGCCCTTTCAAGCTGTTCCCGTTTTCAATGAATAATATACAATTGGCAAGAGTTAATGTTTATCTCAGTATAATATGTAGAAATTCAACTTAGCGCTGATTTTCAAAGAATTGGGTGTGACTTTCTATACAGCTATATTCAAATATGTCCCACTGTACCGGTGCTTTTTCTATGTTATTTGCGTGTACACAAATTCCTAATCAGGGCAGCGCATTGATCAAATGCCTACCGGCTTTAGATAAGAATGAGTAAGAAATGTCCACCAAAACCGCCAACAGTTTGCGTTCGATGTTTCAGTTCAAGGCGCGTTACCGAACGGAGTTCACTTAGTCGAGCAGTTTAGGCCAGTTACTAGTTACCAACTAGGAGTTTCCGTCATTAAATTAGTACAAACCTAAGGAAGCAGCATGTACAACGCAGGCTACCAGGTGGAAGTGATCGATCCGTACTACCAGCCGCCAGTGGAGGTGGTGAATGTGATTGGACCCCCGCCGCCCGTCGAGGTGATAATGCCCTCGCCCGCCTATAGCCAGCCGGTGGTCGTGGTGGAGCAGCCCAGCTACAACCAGCCAGGACCCCCGCAAGGAAACGGTGACGCCGAATGCTGCATGCTGCTAGGAGCCTGTTGCATCATGGAGGAGTGTGGCATGTGTGCCATCATGTAGAGTGTGCAGCTGCCAAATGATTGCTATAAGAACTATGTTAACTAAACGCTAAATATAGACTATAACTAGGAATGACTAATCGGAGTGGTGATTCAATGTTTGCATTATAAGCGGTTTTAAAGCATATCATTTTAATATATGATGCATTAATGGAAAGCTTCGGCAAGTGGTTTTAAATGCCAACCCTATTTTTATATACAAGAAATTGTATATATGCTTCTTACAAGCAGAAAATGTGATAATTTTTGATACCAAGTAGATAGTTTCGATAAATCATAAACATCATAGAATACACTGCCTGCTGATAACAGCCCTTTGAGATTACTAGCTACCCACCTTGTAGCGGCTTTCCTGATAACACTCAAACATAAATATCAATAAGCATAGATTTTAATTTCCTCTATCTTCAACAAGGAAACGGATAGATGGGCTTTTAGCAAACGAGGTATCTTTTCAGCAGAGTGCTCACCACATTGTTTGTTGCCAGCTGTCAAAGAAAATTCAGTGTCTACGTGTGGACACATTCATCCCCCTGTTAAGAGGGACACGCCCAGGCCCGTTTCTTGGGTTTCCTTTTAATAAATATAAAGCGTTAATTTGCTGCATAATTGCGCCATGCCACACCCAGGACTCGGGAGACGGACCCTTCCATCGCATGGCAGTTAAGTAGCGCAGCCTCGTACTCCATCAGCCCAACTCATCAGAACTTGGGGCAGCATGGTTGGTCTGGTCTATACGCCATCGTGGCTCCCTTGCTCATGTCTTCAATGACAGTTATTTCATTTTTCTTGTTGATGTCTTTCCCTGCACTCATTAAATCAAGTTAAAAAGGCATATAGCACGCAGTTGCTGCCGATGTTGCTTGTTGCCGTTGCCGTTGCCGTTTCCGTTGTAAGCCAAGCTGTTGAGTTGTTCTGGCCCCAACACTCTGTTGTTCTTGTGGCTGTCTTGGCGCAGTAAACAACAAACAGCAAACAGCAAACGACAAACAGCAAGGAGCCGACGACAACGAATTTTCAAATAACATCTCACAGAACTCCAGAAAGGAAACAATAAAGCCGATGCGAAGAAAGCGAAACTCCTCCAGTCATTTGCGACTCGACTCGACTCGACTTTAATTATAATAACTTGGCAGCAGCATCGTCGTGTTTTTTGACATCATGGCTGACTTTAATGGCTGCGCCGCAAATGGGAAAACCGAAAAACACCTGACTAACAGCTACTTTCGGTATCCTGAGAATGGAGTTACGGCTCACATTCACCTCGAATATTGCTAAATGGTTCAAAAAATAGCTGCAGCTACTAAAAGTAATTTGGTGTCTGGAAAGATGGCTTTTCGGAAATGTTTCCCTCGGGAAACGGCTGAGTCACCTGTCTGATATGAACTCTTTATAAACTTACATGGTTGAGATAACAAAGTAAGCTTTGTGAACGGGGTTGATGCTGAGCTAACTTACTCTGCCAAATTTCCGAAAATATATTTGGAAAAATGTCGAAGATTTATTGTACCCAGGATACCAACTTGTAATATCTTGTGACTAAATTTATTTTTTTAAGTATGTTTTTCCTTTGCACATATTTATATTCAAAGTTTTTTAATAAAGTCATGCACTTAACGCTTATACAGAAACTATTTTGATTGATTACCCCCAACCGATTCCATATATATTTGACCGACTTTCCGAAGCCTCTTAGAGTCAACCCTCGAGATGTGTGGCAAAAAAGCATTGTAATCATAGAGTACAACTGGCCAACTAATGCATAATTCGTGTTCGCTGGGCACGGAGGACCAACCTAGTCACCCACCCACCCGGAATTACACTCACCCACGTCGCCAGTTTGCTACCCAACCAAAATGGGGGTAGGTATTGTATATCTTCTACTTATAGTTGAGCTTGTTGCATTTCTTGCAAGTAATTTTGTTATGAGTTTTTACTGCTGCGGGGCGGTAATCCTTATAAATGAAGCAGCAAATTTGATGCTGCATGCAACGTGCCCTCCACGGATCGCCATCTAGTTGATTCCCCTCTATTTACCACAGTTAGTTGACTTAATGCATTCGCCTTCGTCTCGCGCTAATACACGTTAATATCCTCTGAGCTATGAAATTTCGCTCATTTGTCAGGATTTAGGGCACGGAGGCTGGACACGGCAAATTGCAATTGTATTTCATTGTGCTCTTGTTGCCGCTGGCTTTTGGCAATGATGATATATTGGGGAGGCACGTGAGACCGCATCCGGGGGCGGTGGCGGCGGAGGAGTGGGCGTTTTGTTGCCCACTGCCTCATTAATTTTTGCCTAACTGGCTCATTAAAAATTAATCCGTCATTGGACCCCGTATCGATGGCTCTGTGGGAGCCCGTCTTCTAAGCGCCAGATCGGCTTAGAAAGCCTGGAAATAGGGTAACTGATTTCTGCTAAGCTGCCCTTTAAAAACAATCTACAAGTGATGGGCGGCAGCACTTGTTATACGAAGGATTATCGGTTTCGACAGCGACTCACACATATGGTTAATTAGACGCTCTTAATTACTCCACATACTTAAGTAGATTATGAAAACGAACGCGTTGATAACGAGCATTTATGCACTAGACTAAAGAGCCCTTTTTTATAAATACTAGTTTTTAGATACTCCACTGCGGCATTATATTTAAATACATACTTCGAAGTTGGGCTAGAATTTTTGTGTTTGTGAAGGCCTTATTTCCAGTGTTATATTTATCAATATCATTTTGAAAAAATCACATCAAACTCAAAGAGAGAACTCAATTAGAGAATGTATCTGCAAACTCTCCTACCTTTCTGAATATTTTACAAATGTTTAATAAAACAAAAGGTCATGGCTGGGTGATCTAGAAGAAGGCTATGATATATTGTCAACAAAAGAAGCCACTGTGCCATTTGCAAAGTGCACACAGAAGGTCAGAGGGTGCACCTTTCACATCTGGTGCCGACCGAAAAACCATTTCATCTAAAATGAATACTTTGTAAAATGGAAAGCTGCTGAATGTCGGCATTTAGCCACGCATTAAGACACTCAACCCAGTTGCATTTTAGCTGTTTGTTTCCCTGGTCCTTTGTGCCGGATGGCGGTGGCGGCAGTGGTGGGTGGGAGAGCTGGGCACACTGACCCGCCAAGTACCGTTCGACTCCTGACTGCCAGCCGTCTCGCTCGCTCTCGTGCGCTTTGCATCGCGTCAAGTGCAAAATGTGCAATGCAGGAGACAAAGCAACCGCATGCTCCTGCTCTCCCCCGCCCCCGTGCCCCAATGCCCCCCGTCGGCGCTCTGAAATAACGGCACTCGCATTGTGTCAGGCGAAATAACGGTAAAGGAGCCAGGGAAAAGCACAACACGAACAATAACTTCTGTGTGACACATTTGGCAATGCGTTTTTAAACTGGCGAAAACAAAACGAATGTGGCAGCCGCAAAACAGAATAGAACACAGTGGAAAAGTCAGCGGCAAGTGGGAAAAAGTTTTTAGCATTTTCCGACGTTCCTTTTTGTTTTTTTTTTTTTTTTGAGTTTTGAGGTTTTCTTGTCCTCGGCACTGAATTGCACTTAAAGTCAGCGCCAGTTAAAAAACTTTCCATGAAAACTAAAATAAGAAGAGGATGCCAGAGGAAACTATTGCATAGAGTGCGAAAGA